TACATGGCTCCTTCTGTTACAATGAAAGCTAGCCCGCAGGGAGGTGGCTTTTAGGCCAATTCCAGCTCTACTCCTCTGGGTCTTGTATCTGAAGTGCATGATGTCTTCAGCGATAGGGACTTACCTTCCATCTCTGGGGGCAACCAAGGGCTGTAGCCCGTAGTATTTTGGAAGCCTCTTGAAAGACAATCCTGACTAACAACTCAAAAGGAGGGTTCTCATGCTTGGTGTTGGGATTTTGTTAAATAGCTCATGACTCTCGGAGGTAGCATTGTTGGGAATGGGAAGATTCCATCTACACTATATGTGTATACGTGGACATGTATATTACATGTAATTTTAGGTAGGTAGATAATAGTATGCTTCCTTATAACCTTTTCCATACATCCTTACTGTGTTATATCTCTCCATTTAAACCGTCCACTCAAATCACCTGTACCCTGCCTCTCCCCACGGCTCTCCCCTCCCCACGGTTCTCCCCTCCCCCGCTCTCCACCCAGCCCCTTTGTACTTTCCTTGTTTCTTCAGTTACTACTCCAGGCTTTATATTCACGTTGTTTTAAGTGGGAGGAAATGGGCAGAAGGCAATTCTAAGTCACATCTAATGCGCTCACTCTGTCTAGCCGTGTAGCATTTGTGTCACTATGAGAGGAAATGTCGCCTTCAAATCCCCCTCCCTCCCGACACTCCATCACACCTGGCTGTGCCCCCTTCTTAGGTCTTTGCTAATTACTGTGGCACTTGTCTCTCCCTTTCAGCTTGTGTAGCACCTTTTTTGCTGTCTATTTTGTGCTGATTATACTTTGTACACATTTCAGAGACCATGTATCATCTTAAGTCATGTGGGAAAGTGGGGGTTGTTTGCAAAGCTAGACCGCAAAGTTGGATTATCATTAAATCACCCTTGAACATTGCCCGCTGTGTGTGCTGCACATGCTCTGGGTTTAATGACCCTGTTTGGTAATTTGTAGGAGCTTCGAGTGGGGAAGCCACAGAGGATGAGTGTAATGGGCAGGAGGCAGGAGGAGGGCAGCCTGCAGATGTATCACCCTGCGTGCAGAACAGAGGAGAAGTGTTGTTTTGGGTGAGCAGTGAACTGCTGTAATGTTGGGGCTTCCACACAGGTTGTTATTAGAGAGAGACCGGAGAGATTTTATGACAGCATGTGGCACAGAGCTGCACAGGTTAGATGCCAAGTGTTTACGGGATTTGAGTCTGACGTTTGTTTGATAAGATCTGAATATGCAATGTCTTTCTAAAACCCACCAAGACTGAGGCTGCCCAGTTCTTCTCTCTCATCTGGCTTTCTCTTCTCTGCCCTTCCTTGCCTCTTCTGCATTGACTGAGTAACTAGTCCTCTCTTCGGGAGTTGTCTCATCACCAAATAGGCCCTACTAGATTGGTTCCTGAAGCTCGGGGAATAGATTTCCATGTCGATCCTTGATTGTGATGGTGCTCGGGACAATATGCTTTAAGTAAAACCAGGTTCCCCTGTAAGGCATGTTCCATTTCTTATCAATGAACACATCCACTAGATACGCTGGCTTCTAAAAATGCAGAGGCACTCGGGAATGGACCTAGACGATCTTGCAATAATGAGATGAAACTCACTTGAAAGAAATGACTGTGAAGCCAGAAAGCAAGCCAATCAGAGACAGATTTACTGTGGCAGCTCAAGGGCTGACTCTGAGGACAGCAATGACAGCCTTCAGGGCGAAGGTGTTGGAACTGGGGCTCTGACCATGTGCATATATGAAGGATGGACTGACTCAAGGAAATGACAAGTACAGAACAGCGTTGACAATCCTTTCTGTCAAAGCCATAGATTACATACTTTAGGCATTGGGCCATAGGATTCTTAACAGCTCAGTCACTGGCGAGTGAAAACAGTAACACGTAAATGAGTAACCATGTCTGTGTTCCGAAATTAACTTTTCATGAAATGTTTCATGTTATTTGAGTATCAGTCTTTTGACCCTCTGGTTGAGAGTTAAAGGTAATTCTTAACTCATGGGTCATACATAAACAGGCCAAGTGCCAGATGCAGCCCATAGCTCTCATTTGCTGATGCCTTTGTAGAAGCAAGGATGTGTGGGTACATGCTGTCGGACAGACATTAGTGCCTAGCTAGGTAGGTCTTGAATGAGTGCGTCTGAGTGGAAGCTGAGGCCGTGCATTTCTAGAGTGGCTCTGGTTGACAATAACACCAGATCCTCACATGGAGGAGAAAGGAGCCAAATATTGAGCCACAAGGGTCCCACTATGCCCCAGCACTTAGGAAACAGAGGTGATCTTTCTGCTCACTGGGCACTTCCAGCCTGCTGCTCGGGAAGGAGACAGAGATGTGGAAAGAATGAGCTCACAGAGTAGGAATGAGCAGACAGAGCCAGGTGTAGCGAGTTCTCTGCAGTTCTGGGGCAGTGGGGAGCACAGGGATGCACACGGAGGGCACAGGAGTACTTGCTGAGCTGAAGCCAGGCCCTGTGGCTCATCACCTCCACTCAGTCCCTTCTGGGCTGCCTCTACTCTTCTCAGTTATCACTTATTCTGTGCAATCTTTATAAGCCTTGTGCAAAATATAAGGTCAATTTTGAGTAAAAGTTTTGGGTGTACTGCCAGAGGGAACACAGTGACCAGAGAGAACTGCTGTGTGTCTGAGGAAAGGCCAATGACTGAACACTCAGAGAGAGCGCCTTACAGCTTATTGCAGGTGGCTAGACTGTGGGCTTCAAGGACAGTGAAGGAGCTAAATGAAAATACTAGAGAGAAGAAGGGATACTGGCGGCAGAGGGGCTCTGCTTCCTCAGGGAACTTGATCCTGTGCAGTGCTCTTCTGACTGCCCTACCCTGAACTGTACTGTACTCTAGCCTATAGTCTGCTATGCTACTAATACCTGGTAAGGTGGGGCTAGAGGCTCAGAGAATATGACTCTGCGGATCTGTTTCTTAAGTTAGAAAGAAATGACTGGTGGCCAACCCTAGGTTGGGATGTCAAGGGTTGCACCGACATTTACTTTCTTCTTATTCATGTTCTGATCCTGTCACCATAGCACTTACTCAGTGGTGAATTAATGGAGCAGCAGTCGGAATATTGGTTTTATAAAAGGGTAGTGCACACTAGGAGAAAATCATGGGCATAAGAAAAAAAAGGCAGGACCCAAAGAAAGTCAGATGATTATAGTACACGGCAGCTGACTGACCGTGAGTTGACTGTGACGCAGGGACACAGTTCAGCCTTTGGTCAAAAGGGCCATTTAGGTTGATTAAGAACATTATGTGCATATAGACCATGACATGTTTCAAGGCACAGGCCAAGAAGATTTTGTACTTTTCCACCACCTGGACCCTCTTACCCCCTCCCCTTGTAAAACATGCTATAAAAAAAAGCATTTCATGTTCAAAAAAAAAAAAAAGAAATAAAAAAAAAAGAAAAAAAAAAAGAAATGGGGATGCTAGTCAAAACCCCTTCCTCTCACTTCTTGTTTTTCTTACGACCCTGGCCCTGCCTGCAGATATCGATAGCCCTTACTGGGTGGTTCCTTTTGCAAGTTTTTGCTGCTTCCACTAAGACTACTTCTGTCTTCAGGATTAAATTGACATGAGTTTCACCTTGAAAAAAAAAAAAAAAAAGAACATTATGTGACATAGCCATGTAGTGTATACACAGGTGGACACAGATGGCTTTTAAAACAAGCGGAACCTGTAGAAATCTCTTAACTGAGCAACAGTTCAGCAGTTTGTCTGGATCTATGTAAAGTGTGAGATTGGAACTGATGGCAGAGGGTCTGGATGCTGCCATTCTGTGTGCCAAATGCTTGTGCCCCGTCTTAGGAAGTGTCATGTTACCTCAAGTCCTGACGGACTTGCTCTGTGGTTAACCTAGACTTGTTGATTACAAAGCTGTCTGTATATTGTAACGTAACCAGAGCTGAGAGTCTGGTGACTAATTACTGAAGGTCATTCCATATAACAGGAGTGGTATATTCTTCCCTGACAGGACTAGACAAGATTGAATGACTTTATAGGACAGTGCTGGAGAGACTGAGAATTTTGTAGTGTTTGTGGCTTAAAGAATGCACAAGTAACTGTTGGTGACTGACAACTCAAGATGCTTGCGTTGGTTGCTCTTGTGTGGCTGTGACCAGCCTGACAGAAGCAATTTGAGAAAGGAGAGATCTGTTTTGGCTCCCTGTTTTAGAGAGCTCAGTCATCACAGCAGGGGAGGCATGGCAGAACAGCTGGGATCACAGCAGCAGGAGTGTGTGGCTGAGGCTGTTGGCATCATGGTGGACCACACAATAAGAATAGGGAATGGGGCAGGTGTAACCTTCACAGCCCTCCACTCCTAGCTAGTCCACTAGTGTCATACTTCTACCCAGTGAGTCCACTAATGTCATACTTCCACCCAGCTAGTCCACTAGTGTCATACTTCCACCCAGGCCTAGCCTCCTAAATGGGTCCATGGCCTCCGACATTTAGTGGCAACAGGACACAAAATCATTTAGAACATGAACATGCAGGAGAGATTTTAGATTCATACCATTAACAGGGAGCCTTTGACTTTTGGTCATTTCTACTGAACATAGAATATCAAAGTAGAGTGATCTGAACGCCAAAGCATTGCCTTGCTTCCTGAATTTGGCCAGTATTGTTTCATTGATAATAGCCTGCCCTGTCCTTCTGACTGCTGTTTTGTGTCCTTAAAAGGATGGTATAAAATGCTCACAGTTAGAGCTAAGCTCATGCTAAGCTGTCTCCCCGGCAGAATTTTAATTTCACTGTCACATTCCCATAAGATTGAGAGGGTGCTGTTTTAAATTAATCCCATGAAATATTTATTATTTGTAATATTAGTTCATCTCACATCTTTGAAAGGAAGTGTGGCACATACACAATGCTGTAAAATATTTTTCCAGCAAGCCTTTCATAGATACTGACACATGCTTAGAAGTTTGGACCCTTGGGTTTGTATCTAAGTCTCTTTCCTTCTCGTCTTTCAGTACACAAGGGTCTGGATCCCTGACCCAGATGAGGTGTGGCGCTCAGCTGAATTAACCAAGGACTACAAAGAGGGAGATGAGAGCCTGCAGCTCAGACTGGAAGATGACACAGTAAGTGCTGGTCCTTGGGGGTGCCCGGTTGGCTCTGATAGTGAATTGTGGCCTTAGGTTTGTCTGCCCAGTGGAGCTTCTGAACTCCAAATGCTCCTTTGTCACTGTTGATGGCAGAGGGAAGTGTGAAACCATGAGCCTGCTCCATGGATGTCACATAAGAAACAAGAGCCCACGTAGGTTAGCAACTGGGGCTCGGGTGGTAGCTGAGACAGGAGCTGGAGTGAAGAGGATGGACATGCGTTAAGATGAGGTATCAGCACGGGGGACAGTTGAGCCAGTGGAAGGAGCCTGGGCTCAGGCTAAGAGTAAGGAGTGTTTATGCAGGTGCTACTTGTGTCCAAACCCCAGTGTTGCATGTGGACAAGGGAAAGAAGCTAAACCATTGAACCTAGACCCAGGTGGCATAAGGCAGGGGTGACAGGCAGCCATGTCATACAAGATGTACACAGGGAGGCTGGCTGTAAACAAACTAGAGGGATGACATGAAGAACTGACTTTGAGACAGACAGATGGACAGGTGGACCACAGAGCAGGCACAGAGTAGATCGAAGGTTTGTGTTGGGTGAGCTCCAATGCTTGGAATGTCTATTGTGTCCTTTAGTTGTGAATTATTAACTGCCTGCTGTTGTTCATTCTTCAAAGCGTTTTGTTCTGCTTCCCACTCCAAATGGTTGGTTGAACAACCTGTTGATTGAACATTCTCCAACCACCAACTCTTTCTGTAGGAACTTGGAGCGTGTCACTGTGAGTGTAGCATTGGGGCAGCTGAATTTGAGTTGGTTGGTTGGTTGTGTCCTTTACCTCCTAGCCAACAAGCTTTGCTGGTCTAATCCTCTCTTGGTTTTGAGGGGAGAAATGAAACCGTCAGCAGATGGAGTCTTGTTTGCCATGTTGAATAACTTCCCACTCTACACCCGAAACAAAGTGAAATTAGTCCACCCACTCGAATGGAGTGCCTTCTACTCCATCAGACTTCATTTCAGTTGGCCTTTTCGAGTGGGTGGGTGTTTTAAAAAGCTGTATGGAGGCAGTGAGGAATGATCTGTCATGTTGCTAAAACAGCAGATGCTTGTGTTCCTGCATGATGAATCTTGGAAGCTGTCCGTGCCTATCTCTTCCTCTCTGGCTATAGGACTGGTCACTCAGGAACTGGAAGAAAGCCTGGGGCTGAAGATCGGCAGAGCCTCTGAGCAGCTGAGTCTCTCTCTGTTTGCCATGGGTTATGCTGGTGTAAAGCTAGCCCTGAGAGTAACTGGGCACTGTATACTTGAGACAGGAGCAGAGACCCTGTATGACTGGATGCTGAATGCCCAAAGAACATTTCCTGTGAGGCTGAAGCCATCCTGTGGTCACACTGGTAGACCTCCCAGCCTGCAGAGTAAATCACTGTTGATTTTAGTGCAGAAGCAAAGAGAAAGTAGGCAGGTCAGATTTTCTGCTAAAAAAAAAAAGCTGCATTCCAACCTTGGGCTCGTAACAGAACTGTGCACTTTGCTGCCAAGGGCTCCCTCTGATAAGGTATCCAGAATTCTCACCATTCCTCTAAGATGCCCTTCCCATTTGGCTCATTTTTTTCTTTTGGTAAAACGTGTAATGAGAGTGTGTAGCCATGTGACCCATCCTTAAGTGAACAATTCAGTGGCACTGACATTGGTGCAGCTGTCACCATGCCCCCTTTCCATACAGCAAAACTGGAGATACCTCGGCCTGGACACATTTACAGTCCTTACCACCTTCCACGCTGCCACCTTCTGTCAGGTTGCACACGGTACTTCATACCAGTAGCATCGTGCAGCTTTAGTGCCTTTCCCACCGGCTTAGGTCACCTAGCCTAACGTCCTGTCTTGCAGCCAGTGAGAAGATGGTGACTTCTCTAGAGAAAAGGATAGTGTCATCTGTCTTTTGTCTTCCTAGAGACAAGATGAGTGTAAGCTACATGTGTGCTCACACTTAGCCTCGTTCTCTGCCTTTAGACCGTGCTGGGCATTTTGAGGATGCTAGCCTTGGATTGATGAGGGCGGCCTCTGTATGCTTTGACCAGAGTAGAGCTTAAGGCAGGTCAAGTGTGCTCTCTCTCTCTCTCTCTCTCTCTCTCTCCCCCCCTCCTTGTAAACTGCTCCACTCCTGCCCTCTGCTGGCTGATAACTCTCTGTTTGTGTACTTTTTACTTTGTTGTGTTCCAACTTAGTATAAAGTGCCAAACAGCCTTAGCAAGTGCTTCCCGTGTGCACGCTTGCGAGCAGGAGGCTTCAGATAGACAGGCAGAGAGTGGCATGCTCTCCCCACAATGGTCACATCTCAGCCTAACCAAGAGTGTTCAGGACTGAGGAGAAAGGATGCAATCCTGCACAGTTACTGAGAGTGCTTTAAATCTGTCTAGCACTTTCATTATTTTGAATATTTAAATAACTACACAAAGAGTAAAGCTTTTTGCAGCTCTATTCACCCTCCACCCCTCTGCCAGTGTAAGGAAGCAGCATCTTTCTTTAAGCATGCATGGCCTCACCCCTGTAGGAATGCATGGAAGAGCAATGAAGCTTGTTCTATGTGGCAGACCATTCTCTGTGTGTCACGATGTAGGGTTACAAATGCTGGGTGAATCCCTTTAGGGCCAGGATTATCTGTGAATGTTGGACTCTGATAGTAATGTTGAATTTAAGTTGTTCTTGTCAATGGTAGGAAAAAAAAATCCCTACTCTTAGGCCTCCCCTCCCACTCCCTCTGGACACCTTCAAACTGAAGAGTCTGTGGCCTAGAGTGCTGAGTTTGTAATTCTTACCTCTCTTCTGCTGTGCTTGGAATTTTACTCCTTATCAATTTTCTGTAACCAATACCACTAGCTTATTTGTGGATTTTTTTTTCCCCAAAATTTTATATGTGATTGTCTCTTCCTGCCTGGTAAGGTCTTCTGAAAGAAGAATCATCTTGGAAATGATGGAAAACCCATGTGTCTGTCCTGGGGTGTCAAGACGCTGGTCTGAGTTTAAAGCTTTCCAGTTTGAAAATCAAAGGGCAGGATGGGATGGGCACTTTGGGAGGGAGGTCTGGCAGAGTCGTTCGATACCTCTAACTCAGCAGATCACAAAGTCAGGTGCACCACAAAGGTGCCTGACCCTCACTGCTGGGATCGGTGCAAACTCTAGGAAGGCCTGTTACAAGGGAAGTTAGTTTCTGGGGACATGCCCTTGAGGGGAACCATTGAGATCCTGGCCCCCTTCTCCTTTATCTCTCTATCCTGGCTTCACTGGGCTGAGCAATTCTGCTCTACCATTCTTTCTCTGCCATAAGTTTCTGCATTGCTGTCAGCCATAAAGGAATGGAACCAAACAATCATGACCAAAACCTCTAAAATCCCCAGCCCAAACCAGCTGTTCCTCTTAGAAAGCTGAGGACCTGGGGTGTTTTGTTCAGAAAACTTAAAAGTTACCAACTCCAGAGTTTCATGAGCTAGAGGTCGGCCTTTTGCAGTCCCCAGTTCCTTGTTCCACCTTCTAGAATTTTTGTCTGTGTCCTCTTCATGATAACTGTCGAGTAATTTACTGTATGGAGAAAGTTTGCTACAGAGCTTTTAAAGACAGAAAGCAGTATTGATAAATTTGGGGAAAATTTTAACAGGCCAGATGTTGGGGGTCACGCCTTTAATTCAAGTACTGGGAGGCAGAAGCAGGTGGATCTCTGTGAGTTGGAGGCCGACCTAGTCTACTTAGTGAATTCTAGGACAGTCAAAGCATGCAAAGACCCTGTCTCAAGAAGAAAAAATAAATGAAAAAAGAAGACCCAGCAGAACAACCAAGACTTGAAACCCACTGGTAAAGGGAAACTCAGTTTGCTTCAGTAGCATGTCACTGGGCGTTTCATCCCTACCCCATGCCTACTAACTAGTTGGCCAACACAAAACAGACTCCGCAGATTTTTTTTTTAATGGGTTTTTGTTTCCTTGAATTTTTTTAATCTAATTGGGGTTTTGTTCATTTGGTTTTATTGTTGTTTGTTGAGGAAATTAAAGAGAGAGCATGATGTAGCTGGACGAGCATGGAGATGGGCAGGTTCTGGTGGGAATTTGGGGAAGGGCAAAAATGTGATCAAAATATTATAATTTTTAATTAAAATTTTAATTAAAAAATAAGAAAAAGACAGAAGTAGAAAAGAGACAGCTGTAGTAGAGAGGGCAGTCTGGGAAGGTCTGTTAGTGGGAGAGCCCTCCCATGCTGACTGAAATGTAACGCCCAGAGTCATCTTTATTACACAGCCAACCACCCTTAAATCTGGCTGTGCTTCCTTGGTTCTGGCATGAGTCTTTCGTGTCTGATATGCTGGTAATGTGTAATCAAAGTTCCACATGGCTTGGTGTCGATGGGAATCATAAGTATTGCTTTCATCTTGCCTTTCTCTAGAACGTTGCTTACGTTTATGTCTTAGGATTTTTGTTAGGATAGTGATCCCAGCCAAAGAGATAAGACAGCAAATATGGCTAAATGCTTCACAATTGTGCTTTTTTTGTGTCTACTGCTTGCTTGTTACTAGATTCTGGAATACCCAATCGATATCCAAAGTAGCCAGGTGCCCTTCTTGCGGAATCCAGATATCTTAGTAGGAGAAAACGACCTTACTGCACTAAGCCACCTCCATGAGCCTGCAGTGCTGCATAACTTAAAAGTCCGTTTCCTGGAATCCAACCACATCTACACTTACTGTGGTAAGTGGAGGCACCTGCTGAGCCCCCCTTCCCCGTGTGTGTGTGTGTGTGTGTGTGTGTGTGTGTGTGTTGGTCACCTTTAGACTGCACTTATGAAACTCAAACATTAAGAATCATGACTCTGCTATCATGCACATGAACTTTGCATACAATATGGCCGAGATCTGTGGTCAGTGGGATGCCTGGTGTTAATAGTAGCAGCACCAGGGAAGAATGGCGCCAGCTGCTGGGGAAGTTGGTTTAGGTCTTGCTTGCAGTTGGTAGAAGAGCAAGCCTTCCATGGCACCCCAGCTAGGAAGCATGCCCTATCACGGAAGCATGCATGCCTACCACATGAATCTGGCTTGCCCCTTCTGCTTGAAAGGGCTGTCTTCCTTGCTGTTGTTCTCACTGCCCAGGTGCAAGTGTGATGCTTGAAGACTTTGCCCAAGTAATGTGCAAAATCAATAAAAATGCTTAAAGCATAAGGGCCTGAAGTTAATTTTTTAAAGTGTCTGTGTATATATGCTCAGATATTAATATATGCTCATTTCCTCTGAATCTCCATCTCTCTGTCTCTCTGTCTCTCTGTCTCTCTCCCTCCCTCCCTCCCTCCCTCCCTCCCTCCCTCCCTCCCTCCCTCCCTTCCTCCCTCCCTGAGTATTATTTGGTAGTGTGTTAAGCACGTACCAGCGGTTGTCTATGACAAGCAACAAGGGTCTGGTGGGAATGAGACTATGGGTGGGACGTTTACGGTGGGTGTTGTCTTACAGATTTTGGCTTCACTGTAACCACAGTGAAGACTCAGGCCTGGGGGAATCTTCCACTTTTATATTCTACTTGGCCTTTGAAGTTGAACACTTAGCTGGCAATCCTGGTTGCACTGCGCTGTTTTGCTAGGTTTTAGTGCTGAGAGGGAATGGCTTCCAAAAACCCCTCACACTCAACTAGAAGAAATATCAACTATCAGAAACTCCAGAAAACCTCTCTCTGCTAAAGAGCTGTTGCAAAGTCTGTGTTTTTTAGGAGAAGGGGCTAAATGACCACCAGTTTTCCAAGCTCAGGGAATCCCCCTGGAGTTGCCTTGGTCTCTGTGTAGACCAGAGGTTGTTCAGATGATCTAGTGTCCTATCAGCTGTCAACAGAGCCAGTGCCACCCAGGATTGCAGTAACTGTGAAGTGTCCCTCTCTGCTCTGGAAGGGCCTGTAGTGTTTTGGGGAATTAGCTGACCTCAGGACATGAGATACAAATGTCAGCTGAGTGTCATGTGAGTTTAGTTGAACCCTCTGAGAACCAGAAGATGTGTGGCTGCTCCTCAGAGTGTTCTCCACGTGACTGGCCTCAGTGGGATTCCTCAGGGGTTTACTCCCCTAACCCCCAAATTCCCATTGAAAGAGGTACATGTGTCTCTCTTAGCTACCAGGAGGGAATACGACATAAAGAAATTTCTCTTCTTGTCAATGCCCCTCCTCCTCTTGCCAAGATGACTAGAAAACATCTATTTTTGAGCCTTAGTACACAGATCTTGGGATATCTGGGATGCAATCTCATGGAAGAGGGAAAATAGACATATTGCTATCATGTCTTGAAGATGGAATTTGCTTTTTTTCCTTTGTACATTCTCAGCTATCAACTTGCCTATCCATAGAAGAGGTTTAAAATCTACCAGGATTTCCTCTTTGCTAGGTCAGCATGTTTGAATTCACTGCAGTGCAGACATTGGGAGATACTGGTACAGAGATGAGGGGTATGATCTAGCAGAGGAAACCACTGAGGCTTCTGTGCAGGCCACTGCTCCGGGGTTGATTCTGTCCAGTGGCTGTCATCTTGAGGATATCGTAGGTCTGTTATCCTCAAAGACAACAGAGGCACACAGAGCTTGGATAACGAGTCAGTGTGCACAGTCACCGGTGAAGTCAATATTAGACAGTTGTGCTGTCCTCAAGTTTATATTTTTGTGTAAATAGTTCATACAATATTAAGGAAAAATGTCTTTCCCAGATTTTAATTCTTATGTGGAGTTTTAAGTTAAACCTCCTCTCTCTGGTCCCACAATGCTTTGCATCTGTTTCATGAACTCAGCTGCAGAGTACTTGTGAGTTAGTGTGTCTGTGCTGTTCCCATGGGGGCAGCTTGAGGCCTGGGCGGTGTCCTAATCACTCTTTCCACCACCAGAGCCTAGCATGGATGCACCAAGATAATTCTTTATGTAACTGAGTGGTTAGACTCCACCCTCCCGCCCTTCAGCTTTACTCCAGGAGAATGGTACTTTAGGCTGCCGTCTTGTCTGTTCACAGGAATTGTGCTTGTTGCCATCAATCCCTATGAACAGCTGCCAATCTACGGACAGGATGTCATCTATGCCTACAGTGGCCAAAATATGGGAGACATGGACCCCCACATCTTTGCTGTGGCAGAAGAAGCCTACAAGCAGATGGCCAGGTGAGAAGCAGCTCCACTCAGGGCTTCCTGAGAGGGCGTGAAGGGGAGTGTCTACTTTACTTGACTGCTGTTGCTCACAGGATGGTGACACTGGGACCAGAGAAGTTCTTGGAAGCAGAGCCGCCCAAGTCTCTATTCCCTCCACTCTTTCTCTTGTTCATGTATACCTGGAGACCATGTTTGCTTAGATTTACTTCAGGTTTTGAGCAATGGAGTAATCCCCTGTGCTTATCTCTCCCTGAGTGCTTTTGTTTCTCCCTGGCTGCTATAATAGAGCCATTTCACGGCACCATCGTTTATTAGTGCTGTCCAATCTGCATCCTCTCACCACAGACTCTTTAAAAACAGACTCCTTGACAACTTCTTGAGTAGCAAGGCTTGTGGCTTGAAATCAGAACTGCATGTGAGTAACTGTAACCTAGTGCATTTTAGATTTTAACCTGGAAGCGGAGTTCTGTTTGGGTCCTTAAGCCCCTCCACTCTGTCTGTCTCTGTCTCTGTCTCTGTCTCTGTCTCTGTCTCTGTCTCTGTCTCTCTCTCTCTCTCTCTCTCTCTCTCTCTGTGTGTGTGTGTGTGTGTGTGTGTGTGTGTGTGTGTGTGTGTGTGTGTGTGTGTTTGTATGTGTGATCAGAGAGTGGGCTTCCCAATGCTGTAAAACTATCCAGACACAAGGAGAGGAAAACAGTTTTATTAGTGCCTCAGAGAAACATGTTCCCTGGTTAGTTCTATGGTACTGGATCCTTGCAGAGTGAATATTTCTTGCCACAATTAGTGTCTTCATAGAGCCCCAACATGGCAAAGCTTTTTGGGGAGATGGACTTTTGAGGAGTGAGTAATTTCCTAGGAGGGGTATCCTACTCCAGGAAATCTTTGCTTCAGTGAATTTCAGAGTATAAATTTTAACCCAATTGAATCTTCCAAGAGGGAGGACTTTAATGGGATTCCTTACTAATTTACAATATTCCTATCATACGGATCAGCATAAAAAGTCTCCTTCCCTAGAGATAGCAACTGCTCATTTGTTTTAAATGATCAGAGAACTAAGAAATCTAATGAACAACAAGCTGTAACTGTGTATCCAAAATGTGGTGATGGCCACCTTTGTTGTACCTAATGTTATTGGGCAAAGACCGTGCACCAAATTCACCTTCCAGGGCTTGATCCAGATTCCTGTTACTTGCCTGCTTATTGGTACATACATCTTCACAGTTGGTATGGGGAGAAAGGTAGGTGTTGATGTTAGCACACAGCCCTGTGTGGGTCACTGTGGAATTCTTTGTGTGTCCCAGTTGAGAAGGGCCTGGTGATTGGCTGGCACCCTGTGCTTGAATTGAGAGGGGCTTGGGGATTGGCTGGTACCCTGTGCTTGAAGAGAAGGTGCTTGTTTTGTGTGAGGAGGATGAAAGTCTGTCCTCTTCTGATGGATGATTCTTTATGGCTGTGAAACACAGCGAGGTTGTAGCACCTTGCTGGACTGTCTAACAGGCATAGAGTTCAAACATCAAGCACAGAGAGACAGTCTTTCACCTTGCTCTCTTATGGATGTCATTGACTGGGCCAATCACACTTAAGAATTCAGAAGTTGCTGCATGTCATGAAAGATGTTATATTGATGTTGCATTATGGAATGAAGCCTGACAGTTCCTCTTGGATGGCAAGCCCCAATTTAAATCTTCTCTTTCCTCTCGTGTCTTCTATCTGGAGTGTGTAGTTACTGGTCTATCTGTAATCTGTTTCTTACGTGTGTCTGTTCTTTCCATCTCTTTTGCCTGTGTGTGTTCTGTGCCTCTGTATGTGCACTTGTCCTTAACAAAGGGATTTGCTCTGAGTTTATTGAACAGCACAGAAAACATGATATGGGAAAGAAATGAGGGGTTCTTTACAGAAGTATAACAAAGTCTTACAAGGGAGGCTGCTTTACTGACTCCCCCTGGCCCAGAATAGCACCCAAACTGCACACAGATTATTAACCTATAAACACACATTTACAACATGTATGGGATATGTGTTTTTGTTTTAAGGTTGCTTTCAAACTGTTGGCTGCTTTTAGCAAATGATTACCACGACACCAAACATACATAAGCATACACATGTGCACATGTGCATGCAGACACACACACACACACACACACACACACACACATACACATGCCAAAAAACAAAACTGAGTTAAAACCGTGGATGGGTACATAATTTAAGATTAAAGTTGTGCATTAACTTGGGTTTGTAAATGCTGATTTCATGGGAAGTCTAAGGCAAGTAAAGTTAGCTACAATGTTCTCTTAATGGTAGGTTAAGCTTAAACAGTCCAAAAGTGCAGTAGGCCCAGGTTGAGTACATGGGACTAAATGACTTCAAGGCATCTGTTGTGTTAAAGTCATAACAACAAATGCAGTCAAGGCACAGTTCGCAGGCATGTCTGACCTTTGTGGTGATCCATAGAGAGTTCTGAGCTGCAGAGGTGAGCCCAGGCGGGACTGTGGTGGTCTGTGGCCACTGGAATGTGCAAGAGTGGCAGAGGTGGGCAGATGAGTGTGGGGATACGGAGTTAATCCTAAGTTGACAATCTTCACAGCAGAGCTTCTCAGAGTCTACGGATGTATTCTGAATCTTTGCCAATGGGCTCTATGTTCCTTGGTTTACAAATTTAAGGCAGAAAACTGTTTCCAAAGATCACCTCAGGGGAGCAGTGTTCTGTGTAGCACTGTGAGACACTGGTCTAGAGCAATGCGGATGTTTTAGTTGATTGGATAAGAACACTATGCGATGTATGTGCTGCTCGGAGAACAGCTTCTCTCTGGTGGGTCTTGTTTCGTAATGATCTTCTCCTTCTCTGCCATTACCAAGGATAAGAATACAATCTCTTGACAAGATTACTTGTAGAAATAACTCATTTTGCCATAAGTTGCCTACTGACCCATGCAGAATGAGCAGACAGCACAGAACTAAGCAGGAGACTATGGTTCAGAGTTATTTCTTATACACACACTCACTTAACCCCAGGACGTGATTGTTGCTCAAGAATGTATAAAAATAATTAACATGTTGGTATATTTGTTTATCACAGTTTTACATAAGATTCATTACCCTTGTGACACTAGTCAGGACTCTAGACAACACTCTAGTGTCTTTAAATCAGATGGTATGATGGTTTGTATATGCTTGGCCCAGGGCGTAGCACTATTAGAAAGTATCACCTTGTTGGAGTGTGTGTATCACTGTGGGTGTGGGTTTTAATAACTTCATCTCAGCTGCCTGGAAGCCAGTATTCTGCTAGCAGCTTTCAGATGGAGATGTAGAACTCTGAATTCCTCTTGCACCGTGCCTGTCTGGATGCTGCCATGCTCCCACCTTGATGATAATGGACTGAACCTGAACCTGTAAACCAGCCCCAACTAAATGTTGTCCTTATAAGAGTTGCCATGGTCATGCCATCTGTTCACAGAAGTAAAACTCTAACTAAGACAGAAGGGTAGAGATGGAATTCTAACCAAGTGGGTTTTTCTAAAGTCTCCTGTGTTAGCCAAGAAGCATGCCACCTCCCCAGGTATTCATTGACTGTTCCCATAAGCTTGTGAAAACAGAACAGACTCTGGTGCCCAAGCTACATCAGGGTCTTGAGATAGATCTTTTCCCTCAGTGGTTTAGAAGTAACTCAGATTTTGTAGGGAGTTTGATTTGGTGCATTCCCCAGCCTCGGTGGGCGTGGTCACGTTTCTAAGCTGGCTGGGTCTGATTCTTCCTAAAAGCTGTTTGTGTGGGATTTTTTTTTTTTAAATTGCTTTCCCGAAAATGAATAGGACCACAGCCGAGCCAATCTGTTTGCTCAGGTAGCCAAGGTAATTGAGCACCCACATTCCCCATCTGTCTGCTCAACACTGCCAAGGTGTGACTGATAATGAAAGATGGACTTGCCATTGCCGGGAACTCAAGTGTGGGCAGTGAAGCTGTGGGCACCTGTGGAATGGCTCCTGGCAATGGCTGAATGTACATTCTTGCCCAGTGGGAGTTTTGCTTTCCTGGAGATAGAGCCCAGGAAGGGGGAAAGCCTACATTCAGTGAGAACAGTGTCTAGTTCAAGGCCCTCACCAGGCTCTTGAGAGCAAACATCTTGCTTAGCTCGAGTCCCCCTAGTGCATAGAGTTGGGAGAGAATGGGAGAACCTTCCAGAGGATCCCAGAGAAGATGTGTGTTCATATGAGAAAGTGCCTCCAGTATAAAGCTAAAGATAGCCCTGTGTGGCAGCCAGGAAGAAGGGCTTTTCAGGATGATGGCATCAGTGGGCATGGAAGACTGCTCTGTTTTTACTGACCACTGAAAGATGCCACCTTGGCTCTTTTCTACATAATAAGAGCCTGTTGGGAGAAGAAGGAAGGAAAGCCATGAACTCTCCGTCTCTGGAATAGAAATAATAGAACTGACAGGTTTGTAGTCAGTGAAGTAGGGTCTTGTGTGCCTGAGAATAAACTTGGGTGTGCAGGTGTGCAGTATGTCTTTTAGCTGCAGATTTGGTAGAACTTGAGATTGGGGGCGGGGGGAGAATTGGCACAATTATCTGTAAGCCAAATACAGAGTTTGCTTTGAGATCAGCTAAATTGAACAGTATGTTGCTTTTTTTTTTAAATCTTCATTAGTTCCTTTTTTGTGATCTAGGCCATAAAATCGTTGGGATGAGAACATCATTGATGGACCAAGGCAGGGATAAATTCAATTTCTCTGTGAGTCACTTGTATTCGTGAGGATCTAGGGTTCCAGCCTGGTGATCTTGTCTCTGACAAGACATCGTCTATCACGGTCTTTGGGGCCTACCTGTTAAAGATAGTGGATCACATCAGTGATTGTTGTTGCATGTGAGTGAGGAGATCCCTGGAGCTTCATAAGTGGACAGCACAGATCAGCTAATCGGCTAATTTCATAGTAACACGAAACCCTGACATGGTTGATGCTGATCTTTGCATGGAGTTTTGTTTGCCTTTCTGTCTTTCCATGTGACGTAACCA